TTTTTCTGCATAACATAGTTTTTTTCCGGATTGTTTTGAGTTTTTTTTTTTCTTCGCTAGGACCTTCATTGGTCCTTGCATGGCCGGGCCGTCCGGGAAAATAGGGTGACCCAGGCGGCCCGGCTGGTAGCCTAGGAATCCACACAATATTCGGAAAGGAGAAAAAAAATTCGAATTTTCCAACAACAAAATTTCGAAATTCAGACAAAAAGAGAATCGTAAATTTCAGATGCTGCGCTATTTCGGAACCTGTGAGTTTTCAACAATCGAATTTGCACTAAAGAAAAAAAAAATCCGAAAGAAAAAGAAAATTGATTTTCGGCAGTTAGGTCAAAATTTGCCATTTTGGGGACTGGTTAGTGTGACCTAGTCAATCAATCAATCAATCAATCAATCAATGATCAATCATTCAATCAATCAACCAACCAACCAACCAATCAATCAATCAATCAATCAATCAATCAATCAATTAATCAATCAATGGTCCCTGTACACGTGTCAGATCAGGTTTGTCCTGATTCACGTGCGGGGCTCCAACACCAACTGATGCATGCCCAGTTGGGCAATGTATATGGAGCCAAGGATCTGCAATGTGATGAAAAGGACTGAATGGACAATGCAATGTCAGTGGAACATCAACAGGCAATGTACATCCTGAGACATACAAAATAGCACATAGTAGCGCAGTGGAAGACTTGAAGATAAGTCCTGACCTGACCGGGACTGACGCGACATCCCATCATACACCACACATAGAAGAAAGGTCCCTCCTTGTATACACACATGGGGGAGATACCACGGAGGAGATGGGGGGGAGAGGCGAGACGAAGGTGGAGGCGAGACGAAGGTGGAGGCGAGGGAGTAGACCAAGATCGCGATAGCGCAGTCCAAAAATAATTCCTTGCCGAAAGTCCAATCAATGTCTGCCTCAAAAATGTCGGATCATATCCTGGGCGCCATGCCCACAGTAACCTCTGCCTGTATCCTCTGCCTGTAACCCCTCTCTATCTCGTATCTGATGAAGAAGAAGAAGAAGAAGAAGAAGAAGAAGAAGAAGAAGAAGAAGAAGAAGAAGAAGAAGGAGGAGGAGGAGGAGGAAGAAGGAGGAAGGAGGGGAGAGAGAGGGAGACTGACAAAGAAGAAGATGTCGCCTCCCTTGCTGCGTCACCTGCAGGTGCCAACGCCGACCTGACCACCATTCTGTGCGCGTGCACGGGGAGTCCCAGCTATGGGGCCAGGTAAGTCCCCTTCGTTGCAGGTATGGCCTCCGCCCCTCTGCCTTCCGGTGTTCAGCCTCTAACCCAGTAGCGCAGCGCTAAACAGCACAGCCTGAATCCAGCAGTGTGTCGCTCAAGAAGTGAGCTACTTCAACTGTCCTCCTGCCCAGCCTCAGCCCAGCTATAAGTAGCGCTGGGCGTGCTGGGCGCTTCCCAGGTACTGGCCTCAAACGACTTACTTGGTCTGGGCCCCTACCGGGTATCTAGACCGCGCTGCTGATGCAGCGAGGCGCCAAAACGCGCCTGGCCTGAAAGTGGCCTCGTACCTGTGTACCTGGCCAAAGGCGTCGCCTTGGGACCTGCAGTCCGAAACAACGTCTGGATTCGAAACGACGTCTGAACAGGCAACTGCCGGTACCTGCGGCCAAAAAGGGTGCCGTGGGCCTCCAGGGTGCGTGCTGGATGGCGCGGGGCCTGGGGGCCCCTTAGCAACCGCCGGGCCCCTCTAACGGGGCCCGTGTGCGGGCGCAGCATGTAACACTTGGTCTGCCTGCCAGACCCCGCACCCCAGGGCCACTGCACACCAGTTCCCAACTGTCGCCAAATGCGGTCCCACATTCTCCATAGCCAGACAGAGATGGGGCAATACATAAGGATATGCTTGATGGTTGCCAGGATTATTGGGGCTGGGAAGCCTCCGCTGCATCGCTTGCACCAGGGGAGGCCCAGACCATGCTGCTGCAGAGAGGTTCTGTCAATCAGCCAGTCATTGGTAGGTAGGCAGCGGTGGTTGATCTGCCACTCTCTGCCAGCTTAGTCTTTGTACCCGTAAACCATCGGATGGGTCGAAGGGTATCCCTGCCCATTTTCAGGTGCCGCATCCATCTTGTGAATTACTTTATCCTTGAGGTCGACACGTGGGCACAGCATTCCGTATGCAGTTTTGACTGGCAGGGAGTGAAGATGCACTGAGGTAGGATTGCTTTTTTTCAGGTGAGTAGTCTAAGCCTAGAACGAAGGCCAGTTGTGTGCGCAAGGGAGGTCTCTGGTTTGTAAGCAACCCAGTTCTCTTGATCCTTGAGGACTTGGATCCTATATGTCTGGGAGTGGTCTATCCAGCGAGTCACCACCGGAGAAGCACGGGTCAGTCTGTTATTACTTTGCAGGTGGAAGAGACCTACCAGGGCTTTCCCGTCCGGATGGGTGTCTACAACATTACCCACCATTTCCTTTTCCTCTCTTATGGCAACCCAGTGGCTCTCCGCTATTGTCGGCCTCTTTCTAAGAATGCATACCCAATCTAGGGGGATGGAGTCTATTAAAGTGTTCAGGGCCCTTCCTACCCAGTGGCAGTATCTAAGTTTCTTCCTCAGGACCTCTGAAGAGATCCAATCCCTTCGTTTTGGATCCCAGATGTCCCCCACCCTCACAATACCATGCGTCACCCATCCTTTCCATGGTGGTCTATGTTGCAGAAGGTTCTATTGTGCCCATCTGTGATCCACCTGTTTCCAAACAGGGGTTGTCTCATAACCTCCTCCCACCTTAATGGGGCCACCTTGTCAGGTAGGGGGAGTCTGCGCCAGATTTTAAACCACCAATACCTTTCTCAGCTGTCGGTGCCAAGCCTAAATTCGAACTGCACGCCAAAAAAAACGAACCAATGCGCTACCGAATTTGGCTGGCGCCTCCAGCCATTTCGTCCCGGTAGTGCCGAGGCTGCCCGCCCCCCGTGCTAACTGGTGCGGGGAAAGGTACTGGTGGTTTAAGTAGTGTGGTCCAAAACGTGCCCTGCTGTAAATCTCTCCGATCCGCCTGTTGATCGTTTGTTATGCCAGGGGGGCCTTTCCTTGGCATTGGCCAGTACCTATCCCCCAGCCATAGGCATGGGTCGATGTGGGGAGGTGTAGGCGGGGCCAGCCTGGCGATTTGCTACAATGCCAAGGCTCTCCGGGGAAGAAGCGGGCCAAACATCAGACTCTTATTGCAAAGACAAGGCCATTGAGGCCAATGATGTCAAGCCCTCCCTTTGCTTTTGGTTGGATCACAGACTCCCATGCGACCCTACTTATTACCCATTGGTACTCATAATTACCTCACCAAAGGAAAGCCGCCATCTTCCTCGGGAGTGAGCGAAGGGTTTTGTTACTCGTAAGGCTGATTTGTACCGCAAGGACGCGAACACTACATTGTTTATAACTAAAGACATACCCACTAGCGACGTTCGTTTGTCCTTCTACAAGCGTTTTTCCAATACCGGCTTGACAATCCACTAGTCGTCTGATGCCTGTCTGCCCTTTGCTGTCATTACCACGCTAGGACTCTGATGGGGGCCTGCTTTGGTAGCCGTTGGATTTGGGGAGCCTCCGGAGGCCTTCCCCCTTGGTAGTGTATGCACCACCCTTGGGTCTTGTTCCCTCAATTGACCACCATGTGCGACACACAGGTCAAGCGGTCCTTGAGACCCTTGATTTCCAAAATATTTTCCGAATAGGGAGCAGACTGGGATGGCCTCTTCCGAAATTGAGGTAACTTCTTAATTGTTTTTGCGGACTCTGAGCTTTGCCACCAATGCTTCCATGATTATTAGGAACAACAATGGGGAAATTGGGTCACCTTGCCAGATCGAGCGCTGTAATTGGATCGCCTCAAGGTTGCCGTTCATGTGAACCCGTGTGCCTGCATTTTGGTGCAAGATCGATACCCATCGTGAAAAGTATGGACCAAAGTTCATCCTTCCAAGACATTTATCCGAGAAAGAACAGTCTACGTCATCGTAGGCCTTCTCAAAGTCAATGAAGACAACGGCCGCGTTATGTTGTGGCTGACTAGAAAGCTTGAGCATTTAATTGACTAGGAGAATATTATTCTGGATTTTCCGCCCCTTGATAAATCCAGTTTGGGAGGGGTGGATAATATCTTCCATTACATCGTTCAATTGAGGGACCAGAAGGCTCTTTAGTAGACTCTTTACCAACATCTTATAGACCACGAGAAGCAGCATAATGGGTTTTCTCTCTTTTTTTATATAGCAACACGCTTCGCCTTCAAACTCTCCCATACTGCCCTTCTCGTAGACCGCATGAGAGTACCTCATGAGATCTGTTGAGAGGTCAGGCCAGGAGGCTTCCCAAAAGTCCTGGGGGTTTCTCTTCCTCCATCTATGCGCGTGTCAACGTGCAAGTGGGTAGATGCGCACGTGTGTGAGTGCGGAGCGCGCACAAACGTGTTGGCATGCGTGAATGTGAGTGGGTGCGAGCGCTGCAACTGTAAGCATGAATAAGCGAGCCAGAGCGTCGGAGTAAGTGTATGACCGTGAAAGCTGCTGCTGCAGAGGGATGAAGATTTCATGCATCTCGAATAATACAGCACGTAGCGGGCAAGCGGAGTTTGGCGAGTGCACTAGCGGGCAGTTATATCTGGTGCAACAGAGTCGGAGTGGCGGGGTGATATGAGCACCCCGCCCTATTGCAATCTCTGTCATGACTATGTGTCTGTGCGCTAGTGCAGTCAGGTAAGCAGCGAGCGAGCGTGCGACAAATAAATTGGTGGGGAGCTTTTCATCAGGCGAGCGAGTCTTCAAAGATTAAAAGCACCGTTTGTGGGCTAAGGAGAAATGACGGGCGCAGATCATCTTCGACTTTGGGCCTCAATCCTGGCGGTGTTACAGGCTAGCACGTAGAGAGAGGGGGAGAACCTTCTCTTGGGAAGGGGTCTTCATGAGAGGCGTTCACTTACCTTACGTTGGTTGCCAAAGTGTAGGAATGGGGGAGCGAGCGCTTGCGGAGAGCTGGGGGAGTCGGTATCTGCCGGATTTTTTTAGTAGCTCATGATGGTTTATGAACAGCGGAAGCATCATAGTCATAGGGTCATTAGCTTCATCATCATCATCTTCATCAGCATCGTCATCATCAGCATGGTTCTTTGGCGACTACTTCAACCAGCATCATTATAGCTTCATTGGGCGTGAGTGTTCTAGGGGTACGAGGGTAGATGAGGGCCTCCTATTCCTTTTACCTTTCTTTGTCCTCTCCCTTTTCCCTTGTTGATGTCGTTTCTCCTCCTTCCCCCCTTCTTCACCCTCTTATTCTCCTCTCCCTTCCCAATTTCCTCTTTCTCTGCCTTTCCCCGTTTTTCACTCTTTGTTCTTTGCTTTGATTTTTGTGACTCGGCTCCGTTCTACTCTTCTGGGGAGAAGAAGGGTGAGGCGGGGTGCGGGAGAAGCTGGGGTATGAATGGGGAAGGGGAGAAGGAGAGGGGGAAGGTGAGGGACGGTGGGTGGAAGTCTTGGGGATTTCGATTTCAAATGTAATAGGAAGGGTGGGAGGGGGAGAGGGGACGGGGGGGGAGGGGGGGGGTAGGGAGATATCACAAGTCATTTCTTGATCTGATCCTCCTCCTCCTCTTCCTCTTCCTCCTCCTCTTCCTCCTCCTCCTCCTCCTCCTCTTCCTCCTCTTTCTCGTCCGCCCCCTCCTCTTCCTCCTCATCTTCCTCCTCGTCTTCCTCCTCGTCTTCCACCTCCTCGTCCTCCTCTTCCTCTTTGTCCTCCTCCATCGCCTCTTCGTCCTCCTCCATTTCCACCTCCTCCTCCTCCTCCTCCTTCTCCTCTTCCTCCTCGTCTTTATCCTCCTCCTCTTCCTCCTCCTCCTCCTCCTCTTCCTCCTCCTCCTCTTCCTCCTCCTTTATGCTTACAAGCAGCCCAATGAGATAGACCTATGTTTCCTACGAACCGTCGCGGTAGTCGACTCTTCACCCACGGACTTGTCTTCGGACCCCCGTGTGGTGCAGTTGCTTGACGAGTTCGCCGACATCTTCCAGTCACCTACCGCTGTCATGCCGGACCGGTCAATCTCTCACGAGATAATTCTTGAGGTCGGTGTCATGCCGCCAAAAGGTTGCATCTATCGCATGAGCGAGGAGGAGCTCGCGGTCCTCCGCGCACAACTCAACGACTTGTTGGACAAGGGTTGGATCCGCGCTAGTAACTCCCTATATGGAGCACCAGTTCTCTTCGTATGAAAGAAGAACAAGGATCTACGATTGTGCATCGATTACCTCAAGCTCAACGCGCAAACTGTCAAGAATGTGGGGCCTCTTCCTCGCATCGACAATCTTCTTGAGCGATTGGGCGGCGCAAAGTACTTTTCCAAGTTGGATTTGAAGTCGAGGTATCATCCGATTTCGATACGCCTGAACGATCGCTATAAATCCACGTTCAAGACGCGATACGGGCATTTTGACTGGGTGGTCATGCCTTTTGGCCTTACCAATGCCCCGACGACCTTTCAAGCGGCGATGACCAACGAGTTTCGTGCGATGTTGGACTGGTTCGTGCTGGTGTACTTGGATGACATTCTCGTCTACAATCGGACCTTGGAGGATCATCTTGCGCACCTTCGACGAGTGTTGGAGACGCTCTGCCGCCCCAAGTACAAAGCCAACCGCGACAAGTGCAAATTTGTGCGGCAAGAGCTGGAATACTTGGGCCATTTTGTCACACTGGAGGGCATCAATCCGTTGTCGGACAAGATTCAAGCCATCCAAGAGTGGCCGGAGCCACGGAACGTCACGGATGTTCGTTCGTTTCTTGGCCTTGCCGGCTACTACCAACGTTTTATAAAGGGATACTCAAAAATTGCGGCCCACTTGACCAAGCTTCAATACGAGGATCGACCGTTCGGCTTCGGTGAGGATGCGCGGGGTTCATTTTTGGCCCTCAAAGTCGCGTTACTATTCGCGGAGGTCTTGCGAATCTACAACCTACTATTGTCGACACGCGTCACTACCGATGCGTCCGACTATGGCATTGGTGCTGTCCTCGAGCAACACGATGACGTCGACTGGCACCCGGTGGAGTATTTAAGCAAGAAGGTGCACGTTGTGCACTTAATCAATGATGCACGGAAGAAGGAACTACTAGCCTTCGTCCACGCTGTCGCACTTTTCCTAGTCGGGCCTCTTCAGGCGACCAGAAAGCCAACAGGCTGTCACGCAAGGTTTTGTATGTTCTTGCAATCAATAAAATAAATTAAATAAAGCAAATCCCTTCCTGTTGTGTGCGTCCAGCTTCGAGCGATTATGGTCTTCGTCGGTCCCCAGTCTTAGGAATCTTTAATTGTGATTCGGAACAGCAATGATGATGCCGATAATAAAATCAAATTAAATATGCCATGTATGTATCAAGATGCCAATTTAAAGAACAACAATGATGATGCCGATAATAAAATCAAATTAAATATGCCATGTATGTATCAAGATGCCAATTCAGAGGATTGAGAACTGCGACACAATCAGCAAGGAAATACAATCACCAGGCAATGCCGGAAAAGAAAGTCAAGACTGACTGACTCAGGGCAAAGACAAGGTGAAAGAGGGAAGAATGAGAACTCTTAATAGTCTCAGAAAGTACATATGTAGGGGGCATGGCCAGCACCAGTCAAGAGTCCTCACTCATCCCCCTGAACCTCACACTCAATCTCTCATTTTACTGTCTGTTCCTTGTGCTTCCGGTCGTGCCTCCGTACTTTCTGAGCTATCCCTCGTCTGAGATGCGGGAACTCAGATGGCTTTGTGATTGCCTTGTAGTCAATCGTAGCTGGAGAGATATACTTCTTGGCCAGATCAATCAGGTCACCCCAGTGAGAGTTGTCTGTCAGGGTAAAAGGTACCGGAGGCTTGGGATAGTCGGCGTAGAGCTTGGGTCCAAAGCTGCGGATCAGCTTGGTACCACTCTCATTTAACTCTTTCTCCCTCTCCTCAAGGTACTTGGTTGCTGCAATCCAGACTGAGTCAAGGTGTTCATGAGTCTCCTTGCCTTTCTTCACGTAGGGCCTCAGGTCATGAATGGAACTGTCGGCGAACTCAGTGTGAACCACATAGATGGATAGGTCTTCCTGCCTGAAGCTGACCGCACTGACATACCTGTGTTGGAAAGCATCTCTTAGAGCTATCCTGTTGAGACTGGTCAGTACCGTCTCTTGAATTGGGAATGACTGGACTGCACTCATGTGATGATGCTGAAATGTTCAATGGTTCAAATAGAGAACACTTCTGGTTGATGCTGATCTCGGGCATAAATAGAGATAACTGGGCTTTGATTGATTTCGATCTGAAAATTCCTGGTAATCCGAACAATTGAGTGTTGGATTGTAAGTGACAATGATACTAGATGATTTCTTGATTGATCGATTTTGATCAAGGTTCCTGATACCCCCTTTTCCACTAGCGTGATGCTGTTGAAACTGATAATTCACTGAGTACTGGTTACTTGGCAAGGCACAGAACATAGTCCATCTGATCGTAGGTCACGGTTCCGATCGTTCGATAAGAACACTGCGTACTACCCACTTAGCGGCACATAGAGTTCTGGGACATAGAGGATTTGAGCGTCGTTTTACTGATCAGACATGCAGGTGAAGTCCTTGCGGGGAGGGATCTGATCATTTTCACTCTCTTTCAAGTCCCATAATAGCCTGTTCGACCGTCTCGAGCGATGAGTAAGTACTGTGTAATTTTCCACTAGTCCCATAGAAGTAGATGACGTATCCAATGATTTCCTGGTCTTTTACAATTGTCAGTGCACATTCTCTCATTAACTTCAAGTGGCACTGGACGTCCTCAGGTGTTCCCCCTTCCCGAGTTTCCAACTCACCTTGGATAAGAGCATAGGTTACTGATAGAAGACCCTTGCTCCCCATGATTCACCCGTTTTGCAGGAGCTCGTAACCACCACTCCAAGTGGGGATCATAAGAAAATTCATTGAGAGATCTTGACTAGTGTCCAACAGTATCGATCTTTGGTCCCAAACAAACATGTTACGATTGACTGGAGTCCGATGCGATTGATGAATGTCTGCTACTTCAGCAAACAGTGACCCCAACATATCGCCGAAACAAACGGCAAATGCTTCCTCATAATCACAAGCGTGCCTGGACAACTCTCTGTTCAGCACCGCTCAGGGGGGCACCAATATTTCAAGACTCAAAACGCAGGCTGTCAGCAGAAATTACATCTCTTTTAGGTGTTGACAACTTTCCAAAGCTAAAAGCCAGGAGAGACTGGTTTGCTAGCACCACAGACTCATGAGATCTGACTCGTATTCCGTCTGATAGTCCTTGGGAAGAGCAAGTTAACCTGGGATTAGGAATCTCGTGCTTAGACATGCATAAGTGCTCACTTGCAGTGTCCTGCTTTTCACAGTTGAATTGATCAGCCTAGTACGTGGAGCTGCTTTCCATAGAATAAGGAGCTCAACCCTGTCAGATCTTTGACAGTCAGACCATAATTAAATCCCACTTTCAAAACTGACTTAAGGGCGCGCGTAGACATAAATTCCCTTAATTCTCCATCAGGTACGTACTTTAAGTACACTCACGGGTCGAACGCGTATATCAAGACTGGTCTCAATGTCTTTTGCTGGGGCTTTGCCCGACTCACGCCGAACACTGGTACGAATAACAGGCGGCGAAGAGGTGATACAGCCTCAACTAGAGTTTTCTAATAGCACAACTTTAGTGCAACTCACTTAACAAGACAACATCGAATATTGCAAGCTTGATTACTGGACACTGAGTATACGGAACAAATAGACGTGGACTGCTCACCGATTAGGAACACTTGACAAAGCCCCTGATGAACGAGACCTGAGCACTTCCATTATTTTCCGACTTCACCACGACCTGTCCAGATATTCCTAGTGATGAACAAGTACCGAACTGTTTTCCATCATGCCCATAGAGGTATATGACGTACTCAGCATTTTCCTGGGTCCTCACTAGTTTTGGTGCATGTGCAAACTATCCTGTGCAGATAAAATAATCAGACCAATACAAGGAGGTTGTCCTCCTCTGAGAGGCTCAGCGTTGACCTTACACTGGCTCGTTTATATCGTTGCACAGAGTTAATCAGCAAATGCTCCTCTCATCCACCCCTTTTCCAGTCAATAACACACACGGACAGAGACTTTACTAGTCACCGCCGAGCATGTACTTAACTAAGCAATTTTCCTGAGATTTACCCTCTTCCCCATTCATCAATCAAAAGCGGGGCATCGATTTCTGCTCTCTTCAATCAAGGGGAACAGCCAAACGAGCACTCTATTGGCCCCGTTACACGTCCCAGGACAAAGAAACATGTGACAGAATATAGGACGGGGGAGTTATCGTCAACGCCCCCATACAAAGTGACAACTCATGAATACCCAACACACCAAGATTTCGTAATCATCACTCTCACTTACTTTTCACCACACCCATAAGGAAAATGACAAGGCGCCGCGTACAGACCTTTTTCAAGGCTCCCGACATGACGTCTAATTAGTAATCCCCTCTGTCCATAGCCCTTCGCCTCTCAAACAGCATTCAGAATAGCTGAAGGGAAATTAGCCAATTCCTTGTCACAAAGTCATCCCATCAAGTGGGGCTCAGAGCTCATAGGAACTCCACTAGCACCCACAGTCCAAATTACATGCTTTCCATTCTCCCGCCAAATCTAGACTTATTTATCCTGCAAGACAACTATCGAATTCCTCCACCATCGCTTTTTTTTTAATTACTCATTAGCCGATTATTCCCCTGGAGCATACCCAAGATCATGGGTCAACCCTTAACTCGAACCATGTAGCAGAACGATATACAATACGCACACGGACTTGGTGCTAATGTAGGATCTGCCCAAGGACCTACTGGTTTAGGTAAATATCTTATGAGATCTCCAACCGGTGAGATTAATTTTGGAAGTGAAACTATGTGTTTCTGGGATTTAAGAGCGCCATGGCTAGAACCCCCCGTTCTCGACAAATAACCCGTGCAAAAGAGACAACATCCTTCAAGATCGCTTCTCACTCAGTACGCCCATTGACAACTGCTCCCTGAGTCGTTTCCAGGCAACCAAGTCCTAGGTAAGGGACGTGTGACCTACACAACACCGACAAAGTCGATGGGCGCAGATGAACCTAATCAAATAAAAGGGGTATCAGTATCGACTTTCCCCAGAGGCCATGTATCCCCCAGGTCTGTCTCTCGTTGAGAGTCAACCATTA